CTGGTACCGCCCCGTCTGGTACCGCCGTGCCTGATACCGCCGTGCCTGATACCGCCCTGTCTTGTGCTGCCGTGAGCGTGTTGCGCGGGCCCCGCCGGGCGGCACGCCGGGGCGGCGGGCGTCAGACGCTCTCGGAGTGGGCCGGCTCGTCCTCCGGCTCGCGCCCCATGATCTCGTCGCTGCGCGCGGCCAGGGCCTTGGTCATCTCGAACAGGCGCTTGCGCACCTGGGGGTCGTGGATGCGGTAGTAGGCGCGCACCAGCTCCAGGGTCTCGCGCTTGGCCATGGGGTCGGGCTCGGCCTCGTAGGGTGCCGGGGGCTCGGCCAGGCCGCGGAGCTGGCCCGGCGAGCGCCGGGCCACCTCGTCGTGCATGTCCTCGAAGAAGTAGTTGAGGTCGGTGTCCAGCACGCGTGCCAGGTCGTAGAGACGGCTCGCGCTGACCCGGTTGGCGCCGCGCTCGTACTTCTGGACCTGCTGGAACGTCAGGCCGATGGCCTCGCCCAGCCGTTCCTGGCTCATGCCCAGCAGAGTGCGGCGCTGCCGGAGCCGCTGGCCGACATGCACATCCACCGGGTTGGGTCCGTCGGTCCCGCGTCCTTTCGGACGTTGCTTGGTCATCCCTACACAGGCCTCTGTCACTGGACGTTGTTGCTGGCGCAAAGCCGTAGTCACACTGATGTATGTCGTCAACTGCCTATTTCTGATACCACTCGGGGGCGAGGGAAGGAAAAGAAAAAGGTAGCAAAACTTGTAATTTCGACTGATTATCTAGATTTCGTAGCAAGAAATACGCTCTTGGCGCGCAGAGTTACATCTGTATGACAGCCGGTCCTGCCCGGCGCAGCCTGCATACTTAAGCATGACAAGCGGCGCGACGACGCGGCCGCCGTCGGGGCCGCCACGGGGGCCGCCACGGGGGCCGTCACGGGGGCGGCTCTGGGGTCAGCCCTGGGGCCGGCGCACCGGTTCGGCAGCGCTCCGGCGTGGCGCCGGACCGTCGCAGCAGGGGACGAGCGGGGCAAGGGGGCGCCCCTCCCCCGCGGGCCGAGCGGGCGGTCAGGGACGCGGCGTGCGGCGGGCCAGCAGCAGGCCGGCCAGGGCCAGCAGGCCGACCAGCGGCACCAGCACCCAGCGGCCGAAGCGCGCGTAGGGCGTCGCCGCCAGGGCCTGCGGCAGGTCGGCGTCGATGATGCCGCGGCTGTTGAGCGGCAGGCGCTCGACCACCCGGCCGTAGGGGTCGATCACCGCCGAGATGCCGGTGTTGGCGGCGCGCACCAGCGGCAGCCCCTCCTCGACCGCGCGCAGTCGCACGGTGGCGAAGTGCTGGAACGGGCCGCTGGAGGTACCGAACCAGGCGTCATTGGTCAGGTTCAGCAGCCAGGCCGGGCGCGGCGTGCCGGCGACGCGGCCGGTGAAGATCACCTCGTAGCAGATCAGCGGGCCGACCGGCGGCAGGCCGGGCAGCGCCAGGGTTTGCGCGCCCGGCCCGGGGGTGAAGTCGCGCCGGCCGGCAGTCAGCTTGCCGATGCCCAGGGCGCCGAGCACCTCGCGGAAGGGCACGTACTCGCCGAACGGCACCAGATGGGCCTTGTCGTAGCGCGCCGCCAGGCTGCTATCCGGCTTGAGCGCCAGCACGGAGTTGTAGACCGCCGCCTCGCGCCCGGCGGCGGCCCCGTCACCGGTCGCGCCAGTCGCGCCGGTCGCCGGCCGGGGGTCGCGGGTCGGCGCGCCGAACAGGAAGACCGTGCCGGGCCGCGCCAGCGGGGCCAGCTCGCCGAGCAGGCGGCTGTCGCGGTCGAGCAGAAAGGGCACCGCCGTCTCCGGCCAGATCACGTGGGTGATCTCCGCACGTCCCGGGGCCATCGAGAGGTCCGCCTGGTCGCGCAGGTGCTGCAGGCGCAGGTCGCGCTGCCACTTGAGGGCCTGCGGGATGTTCGGCTGGACGAGGCGCAGGCGCACGTCCTCGACCGTCGGCGTGCCGGGCGGCGGGGCGGCGGCCAGCCGCAGGGCGCCGCCGGCCGCGGCCAGCAGCAGC